GGCCACCCAGCCTGTGTGACTATAGACGGTGCCCTGCCGAGTGGGGACAGGAGATAGTGCAGGTCCTGCCAAGGGATCTTGCATGAGTCAAAGGAGGTAATGGATGAAGAAGGAAGCGAAACACAGGGAAGGATTTAGGAGTCCCTGCTGGGAGGCTGAAACTGAAAGCAGAAAGGCAGCCCATCAGAGAGGAGCAGGTTCCAGCTCATTTACTTAACATCATCGTCGGCAGCTGCGTTACTGCCTTTTTTTTGTTATTTTATGTTTATGTATAAAAAATACTTTTTGCAAGAAAAATCTACAGGTACAAAATAGCATCCCACCCCCATACAGGACCAGTAATATATATGCATATATCTTTAGATATTTATAATAATATAGATATAAGTTTTGAGAGAAACAATTCCAGGCTCACGGGACATGGCTCCCTTGGGCCAGAAGCATGTAGGACCGCAGGAGTCCAGCCCCTTCAAGTCTGTATGCCCACAAAGGGGAGAGAGGCTTCAGGAGTGACTCCAAGTCACACTCTGGGACTTGCTCAGTGCCTGGCCAAGCCACCATCTCCAGGGCTCCAAAGCCCAAGGGAGTCTAAGTGCATCTTCTCCACTGCCACCCCACCAGCCTGCAGGGGGCGCTGTGCTGCAACTTCACGCCGCTCACCCTGCAGGTGAGAGCTTGGGAAGGGCGGTGCCAGGCTCTCTGCAGCTGTCCCTTTGCCTTCTCCAACGGTGTCATCCCTGAGTAGACCTTCTCCTGCCTGGGCCCTGGCAGGGCAGGCAGGCCTTCTGAAGCCCTTCCCTGCAGGTTGCCGCACCCCACAAAGCCAGGAATGGAAGGGGCACCACCAGTAGGTACCAGAGTCCTCTCAACCATCTGGCTTCCTGGACCTGAGCTGTGTTGGCTCCCTGGAGACCAAGTCACTGCCAAATCTCCCCTGGTCCGGGCTCAGCAGGGGAAGGACAAGGCCCTGTCCTGGCCCTCCGGCTGCACCAGCATCCTGGGACCAGCCCTATATCTCCTCCTCCACTTTCAGGATCATCCCTGAGAAGACTTCCAGCCCTGGGTGGGCACCCTGGGGGCTGCTCTGAGAGCCTCTGGAGGGCCCGTGGGTCACCCCGCCAGCAGGGCCGCAGTCCTGGGCCCAGGGTGAGGCTTCCTGGGTGGGGCGCACTTCTCCCAGCCTCTCAAGGGTCCGGTTGAGGGCCTCAACGCCATCAGCTAGCCTCTGGCTCTGCTCGGCCAACCGCTGCAGCAGCAGGTTCTGCTGGGCCATCAGTGCACTCTGCTGCTGGGCCCAGGAAGACAGCAGGGCGCCCTGCCGCCGGTGGGAGTCCAGCAGCCGCTGCT